GCCATTCTGGCATACTAGCGACCTGGCTTTAAGCATGCGAGCGTCATCCCCCAAAGGCTGTCCTGCAAAATATAGCACAAATAATCTGAGTCTGGTAAAAGCAGCTATCAAAACTTAAGAGAATTTTTTAAGAAACAGAAATTTATAGATTGTAGTTTTTTTCTTTGGTATTTCTGTCTTGTGTCCAGCATCAGTGAGCTAGTGGTATTTTTAAGATATAAGCAGTACTTTGACCATGGTGTTTACCAACGCCAAGACCCTATCCCTCATGACCTTCTCCCATCTTCTTTTGGATCCCTTCATCTTCCAGAGATGGCACCTCTGGCACCAAGATCCATAATATTCACCTTTGTGGGTTTTTTTTTTTTTTTTTTTTTTTTTTTTTTTTTTTTTTTTTTTTTTTTTTTTTTTTTTTTTTTTTTTTTTTTTTTTTTTTTTTTTTTTTTTTTTTTTTTTTTTTTTTTGTTCTGCATGTTCTTGGAGATCACTCCTAGAGAGAAAAATGAGAAAAATGAGAACTCCCTATTTATCTTTTTGATATCATTGTTGATGCTGGATGCTCCCATGGTACCTTTCAGTTGCCTCTTTTCAGACGATGCATCTTATTTCCTTCAGGTTAAAATAGCACTCCTCTTGTCCTTCACCATACATTTTTCCATTGCACTACATGTACTTGGAAGTAATGAGGTTCCCAGAAGGGCAGATGCAAAGTACATCTGCGCTTTAGATTATATCAAGTATGTTTTCTGTTTTTTCCCCCTCTTTCTTTCTTTTTAAAACTTCCCAACACTGTTTGCCTTCGTGCTTCCTTCAGAGCACCAAGTTGGCCTTTCTAGAAAATTATCTGCAGCAAATCCAGCATCTCTCCCCTGAATGATAACAGCTGATTTGGAGCCTGCTGCTGTGTGTGTGTTGTTAGTGCTGTTTTCTCTTGCCTGTCCTGCTTTGCATTCATTAACACTGGGTCCCATCTGCCACCCCACCACCCAGCCAACATCAGGCCATCCCTCTGCAACTTCTTGCCTCTAGCTTTTGGCTGATTGCTCTGAATACTGTTGAAGCTACAGCAACTACAGCCACCTTTGCTAAGATCTTTTCCAGGTTGCCTATAGTGATGATGAGGAAGCCTGACTCAGGCCTCTAGCACTCTGCCACTCGCTGACCACGGTGGGAAAGCAACCAATTTATGGGTAGCCTTTTGGTCCCGTCTGCAATCTGCTGCAATCTGCTCTCTGTAACCCTCCCATAACCTTTTCTTTCCTTTCCCTGGAGCTCAGCCCAGGACCAAGTCCAGCCTGGCCTGGCTATATGACCTTGTCTCAGACTGCTGAAAAAGCTGCTAAGCTGTGAAAAAGAGTGATGCAAAAATGTCCAAGTAGATCTTGGTGAGATAAAGAAGGTGGGTACGGAGGTAGGAGTGCTGATGCTGGGATGATTGGTGGGGTTCAGTGAGGAATTGAATAAAAGTCAAAGCTTGGTCATTGGAAAGCAGCAACTGAGCATCACCAAGGTTCCATTGGAGAGAGCAGAGGAGGCCAGTGCTGCTCCACCTGCCTCTGCCTCATCAGCAAAGGTTGTCATTGAAGCCATGAGCATGCCAATGCTTGGCCCACTACTTCATTAAATCCTGGCTATCTACTGCATGTCAAAGCAAAGTGCTTTGCACTTTTTCAGCAGTGTTTGTCTAGCCTGTAGAGTCTCTTTATGCATAGTGAAAGGTGTCCAAAGTGGGTGCATCACTTACAACTCATATTGGCTTTTCTCATCTGTCATCCCCGGAGTCTTTCCTACAGACTGGTTGGTGGAGATCCCCTCTTCATCAGAGAGGACTCTATGGTCCTGCTGTTCTTTAGGCTTTGAGACATTTACCGCAAGAGTGATAGCCCATCTGGAGCTTTTCTCTAGACCTTCTAGGACAAGGAATTAGTCTGCCATTGAGTTAATTTAGCCTAAATAACTTATAAAAAATTGCAGTGTTTGACCTCAGGGGGCAGATGTATCAGAAAAGCAGTCAAGAGCAGTGTCCCCACTGACATGCATTGGGATCTCCTTCATCATCTTTGTCTATGGAGATATAGTTGAAAAAGAGTTGTCCGCCAAAGCTATCATCCATATCATAGTCATCCCTAGCAGTGTTCAAGAAATGTGTAGATGAGATACTTGGGGACATGGTTTAATAGGCATAGTGGTGATGGGTTTACAGTTGGACTTGATGATTTTGAAGGTCTTTTCCAATTTTAATAATTCTATGTTTCTATAGCATGAAGGACTGGGGATAACTTCCAAAAGTGTCCTCCATTTCCAGTTTGTCCAGGGACTCTGAAGCATGGTGAGATTTCTTCTTTCGGATGGTTTTGCAAATGTAGACTTTAGGTCACACCTTCAAACAGTCTTCATGGTGTCAACCAGAATTTTGTCAAAATTAATGTGATGGATTTTGTTGGTGTCTTTGCTCTTGCAAGTGCCTTCTAGGAGTCTATGGTGGTTATTACCATAGATAATGATAGATACATTTTGAAGCACATCTACTGTTCTCTCTAGGTCTTAATCAAATGTTGCTTCACTGCTTGTGAAGTTATATTATATATGAAGAATTATATAAGTGCTTTAATAGGTAGATATTTACAAGTCTAATAACTGAGCCATTTCCTTCCCTGTTGTGATACCTTCCCAGTCTACCCAGGAGTAACTGAATTCTCCGATGACTACCATGTTTTCTGTCTTTGTGGGCGCTGATCTCTGAACTTTTCCTGGTGACTTTTCCATGCTGTGAAACTGCTCTGTGGTGCTAGGTACTGAATTTCAAACCACGAGGATTTTTTTTTTTATTACATGTGAATGAAATTAAACATTTGGTTCTTTGCTTCAGCACAGAGCACCAATTCTTTTCTCTATGAGTTTCTGTCACTATGAAATTGGTATTCAAGTGTCCTGCTGATTTCCCTTCTTGCACAAAGAAGACATAAAACATATCGTAGCCACCTCTTCCTTTAGGAGTGAAGGCATTTCTTGAGCGAGGAACAAAAGCCTGATTGGATGATCCTCCTTGAATAAAGTGAATAAAAATGCTTTTTACATTTAAGAAGGTTTCACTATTGTTATTCAAACAGATTTATCTTAAAACACTATCTACAAAGACCCCAAGGAGAAGACCAGCTTAAGTGGTATGGGAAGAGTCTAGGGCAGCCCAGAATTTGAAATGAGCTACTACTTTGTTAAATAACAACTCTGTTCACTGGCGCTGCTTTTGATTTGAAGAGTGCAGAAATAACTGCATAAGCAGCGAAGTGGAAAGCAATGCTGGAGATAAAGATGTTCTGATTAATAAAGAGATAACTCTTGCAGTGATTTGAGGTTGAAGTGGTGACACTATTTGCTGTGAGGTTGGAGGTTTTGCTTTGCTTTGCAAGTTTATTCCCACAGCTCCCACTATGTGCTGCAAGGGGCCGTAATTCTTAGAAATCTCAACTCTGACTTCATTCTGCCTGGTTTAAGCCAGAGATATACCTGCCCATCAGAAAGAAAACTGAGGTCTTGCCACTGTCAAAGAGAACAAAAATGAATGAATTACTTCAGAATGAGCTATCCAGAGATGAGGAGAAGTCGATGCAGTTGAATAAACTCTGGGCTAGAAGAGATATACAATTTAAGGCATTGTTACAGAAAACAGAAATTATATCTGCAGATTAATGTATTTTAATGATCAGACGAATCACCTGATCCAGCCCACTTTAGGCCCTAATTATGCTCTAACACTAGATGTGCTTTTACTAGCCAAATACTTTGCAATAACACAGCTATCCAGTGACCTCAACACTAGTGAGACTCACTGCATAGTGAAATGATAACCATGATACCTTAATAACAGATGATTTGGGGACATCCCTGCAATATACTTGAAGCAAAATGCATGCCACATTTCTTTCTTATTTACTGCTTCATTACAACAGTGTAGGCAAGATCAGAAGAGTCTCATATTATTTGCTTTTTGTTTTCTTTTTAAGGAAATTAAGAGGAGCTTGATAAGCAATTGCAAATGCCAAATGCCCAAGAAGCCGATAGACACATTACTCATTCAATGAGCTAGCATGGATTTCTTAAATCTAGAAACATATTAGAAGGCTTGAAAGCTAGAAATATATAATACAGAAATTATACTGGAAAGACAGTATAGAGAAATGTCATACAAGAAAAAGGGAAAGTAGGGGAAAACGGGCTGGAATAGCCTGATAGTTTGAACATCCTGCCCTCTGCTGATGGAAAGGCTAAATTCACTTCCAATTACAACACATTAGCAATAGAGTAAGGTGATTTGTTCCCAGTTTTGGGGAAAGATGACAATTTTTTCCATTCCTTATTTTTTATTTTTTTCCAATGATGACTGTGGATCCTCAGTATAGGATGCGAGCAATCGTGCAAGCAGCAAAAGAAGCTGCTGGAAGAAGCTACAGGGGATATCTAGCAGTGCTTGCTGCTTGCTCTTATTAAAACCACCACTTTGCCGATGGTTTTAATCATCTCTTTATCCCTCTCTCCATGCAAACGCTATTTAAAGGGTGACTGCAGTTCCAGGCTCCACTGGGATGCGGCAGTGAGGGAGGCTGCTGCGCCGCTCCGCGCCCGCCGGGGGGCGTTACAACAGCGGCGCCGCCGCGCGCGCCTCCCATTGGCCGAGCGTCGCGCATGCGCTTGGAGGCGCGCGCGCAGGCGCGGTGGGCGCAGCCGCCCTTCCCGGCTGCCTCCGCGGGCGGCTCATGGCGGCGGCGCCGTGACGGGTGAGCGGCGGGCGGCGGCCCCCGGGGGCCCCGGCGGGTCGGGACGGGCCCTGACGAGGCCGGGAGCGGGGAGAGGGATGGGGTACGTCCCCCCAGCGCCTCCTCAGCGCCCGGCTTCGGTCCGCGCTGGCGGCTGCCTCCTCCCTGCCCCCTTGGCCTCAAAAAACCGCCTTTTTCTGCCCCAGTTTTAGCCCCCTGTGACGCAGGGAGGTTTCGTGGCTCTCCTTCCCACCCACGTCGCCTGTGCTGTGTAATATCCCTCCCTGCACCCGTGTAAGCACCGAGCCTTAGTTATTTATATTTTTTCCTGGAGAAAATCGTCTTTTCTGCGTTATTTTTACTCATTTTGCTATATGCATAATACCCCTTTTTTAACTTTTATTATTAAATGCATAATATATAAGCAAATGCATATATTTCCATTATTCCATACCTCCTGCCTGTGGGAATCGGAATGCAGTTGTCTGCTGGCTGCATTGGAGCCTTGCTAAGCATTTTAAATATATATAAGTTGTGTAACAGCTTCGAGCAGTCAGCTCCTCCGTCAGGTGCCTTCAAACAGAGACACTCCTCTGTGCAGGGAGGTCTTGGCTTTGTGCTTGTAAAGCGTCACTTTGGGCACTTTATCAGTGATTTTTAACACTGTTGTGGGTGATTTCTCCTGCAGGAAGTAAAGGCGTTAAAGCAGTGGTTGGAGACCCTTAATCCCGGCCTGAAGGAGGATAAATAATGTGCTCGCGGGTTGTTCCCAGGCAGCTGCAGGTGACAGAGCTCTCATTCCTGCCCATTCTTTTTCCTCCTTCCTTTCACGTCGGATGCAGTGTCGCCCAGGCAGTGATATGTGCCCTGTTCTGATGTTGTGTCCTGGCTGATTTTATAGGTGTGTTTGTATATTTTGGTTGCTCGAGGTCTTCGAATGTGTGAAATTGTTTACTTAACCATGCTCTAGCAAGTAGCGCTCCAGCAAGACTTACTAATGTAAAAATCATATCTTTTTCAGTCTAGTGATGTTGTAAAATTCTTAAATTTAAGAAATTGGTTGCATTGTTGACTTATTTGTACTGACTTTAAGGCCGAGGGAGATGGTGCTTCTTAGGTGCTCTAACTTGGAAATCTTGGGTTTTCAGTCATACTTGCAAATTTATTTTGTGGCTTGATATTTTTGTGGACTGTGTCACAAGAGCTTAGAATGATGTTACAACCGTAATTTTGCCAACTATGTTACAAAAAATTGTTTTAGAAAGTTTCCAACACTCATTGACACTTGATCACTACTCACAGAAGCATTTTATCATCTTTTAAATAACTATTTTTCTACAGCACATATGCATATCTACTGTTGACCAGAAAAAACACGCCCCTGCTTGGAATACTCTTTGGCTTGAAGAAAAAAGATATTTAAAAATACGGTGTGCAAGCATAACTAAACTAAGAGCAAATAAACTTTGAACATGTGATTTATTATGGCTTTTTTTTTCCTGTCTTGTAGTTCTGAATCAAAGAGAAAATGTCCCTCTACGATGACTTGGGAGTTGAGACCAGCGATTCAAAAACAGAAGGCTGGTCCAAAAATTTCAAGCTACTGCAGTCTCAGTTGCAGGTGAAGAAGGCAGCTCTCACACAAGCAAAGGTACTGTTATTAGTAATTTTTGTTGTTCAAACTTCTTGGGAACACTGAGGAAAGTTTGTGACTCTGGAGTACATATTTGGGATCTTTTTGTTACAATCCTTCTATGAGTTTGTAGCATGGAGGCTGCTGAAAAGGCATTGGGCGTGGGGACCAAGATTGGTGCTTTTGGAAATTAGAGAAAGTCTTGTAAATTTAAAAAGCAAATGAAGAATTGATGTGTACTCTGTGGGCCTCTTTTTTGACAGAAGAGGGCTAAAACCTGATCTTTAAATTGAAAGCGAATGAGATTAAGCGTTTTGTTTTTAAGTAGGTAAGGGTCATATTGCCCTTAATGGCAGTGTCAGCTGTTGGTCATTCCTGGCATTTTGTATCCATTGTCATTTATGTGTTTGCCTCGCTTTTTGCTTGCTATTTAAAAAGATTTTAGATACTTAAAGGTAAATCCTTTTTTGTTAATTTTTGCAGTATTCCCAGGATACATGAAAGGGAACAGGTTGAAGGATAATTGTTAGAGCTCAGCTGTGACAGCTTTTTTTTTTTTTTATTATTGCTCCAGTGTTTCGCTCTGTCCTTTTAAGCAATGTGTCCTGCTTAAACATAAAACATCAACATAACCTTTGTAGACTATGTGCAGACTATGTAGAATGAGAATATTTGATTAAAATAGAAGTGTGAGTGCTGCTAAAATTGAAAACAGAATTTGGAACAATTTTTATGAATGAAACCTGAAGTGGCACATACAATATGCCTGAGCAGGAGGGTTGGACTTGATGATCTCTCAAGATCCCTTCCAACTCAACCATTCTGTGATTCTGTGATCTGAATATTTAATGCCTGTTTGGCCTGTTCCTGCCAGTGCTTGTTGGCACTAGTTCCAAAACTTTTTTCTTATCACTGTACGTTCTGGTGCATACCAATGAAAAGTATAAACCCCTTAAAAGCAGAATAATATGCGCTGTTTTTGTTGAAGTTTTCTCTTCAAATTATTTCATTGGATTTGTATTTTTTTGTAGAAGCTCTCTAGCCATAGAGCCATCCTCTAGCAGAGCAGAGTTGGCCTTTTCCACCAATTAATATGAAATAAATTCTATTTATTCACAATGAAGTTCATTAGAAATATTGAAAATTAATTTGTTGATAAGCTTATGGAAAATTGTTTATTGAACTTCAAGCAGAAAAGATTTTGAGCTAGAGCTTCATTTTCATTCTTTAAAAAAGAAATCTACTTGAGCAATATCAAAAGAGCTGCTTTTCAGAAAACTATTTTGTTACTTGTTTTAGACACTTTTTGTTGCAATTTTTGTTTCCAGAGCCAGAGAACAAAACAAACAACAGTCCTTGCTCCGGTGATTGACCTGAAACGAGGCAGCACTTCTGATGAGAGGCAGATTGTGGACACGCCACCTCATGTAGCAGCTGGATTAAAGGTAGGATCAAGGTGATTAGACAGTCCAGCTGTAATCAGATAATTTTGAATTTGGGTTCTTTGTAATCTGTATATTTGTTTTTCACCACGTTTTTTACCACCTTTTCCTTACTGATAAAAGAAGTCAACCTTAGAGTTGGTTTCCTCTGTTCAGAGATGTTTCAAGAAGTCTTTTTTATACAGACTTCCATGTGATACAATATTGAAGTACCAAGACTGCTGTACAATTAAACTAAAACAACAGTCCTAGCATATTTCTCCTGGAAAGCTTCAAAACATTTTGGATAGATTAGGTCAATAGCAATGGTAATTGTGATTGCACTGCTGTTGGAACTGGTCAAATTTAAATAAATAAATGGAAGCCACCTCATCTTTTAAATGCATTCCTAATGATAAAAGCACACTTTATCCCTGAAACTTTCTGAAAGATGAAGATTTTGGAATAGTCTTCAGGAGAAGAGCAGAGTGTCTGTCTCTGTCAGGTACTGTAATATTAGCAGATGAGAGAAAAGACTAGTGAGATTGCACAGGATGACCCTTGGCAGGTGGTTGCAGTGAGAAGATGCATTTTTCCAGTAACAATGAACAAATGGGTATCAAAATAATCTTGTCCACATCGGTTTGCTGCTGTGTTGTGTTTCCTGGTGGGGGATTCTGTTCTTCATGGTGGTACTTGAGGTGGTGAGGGCCTGGGTGAAATCTTAGTTTTGAAAGAAAGCAGAGCTTCCATGTAGTTTTGGCAGGATCAAGGTACCGCCTTACATTATTAAAGGCAGAAATGGGGTTTGGTGATATTTAGAGTGAGGAGGGCTTGCCCATTTTGGATATGGTGTGCAGATCTCAGCTGGAAAATATTAAATGTTTCCCTTTTCTTTTTTTTTCTGAAGGATCCTGTACCTAGTGGCTTTTCTGCAGGAGATGTGTTAATTCCTTTGGCAGATGAATATGATCCCATGTTTCCAAATGATTATGAGAAAGTGGTAAAACGTCAAAGAGAGGAACGACAGAGGCAGCGTGAACTGGAGAGGCAAAAGGAGATTGAAGAAAGAGAAAAGTAAGGTTTTTGTTCTAACTCATCACATACTGATTGTTAGATAAAGACTAGTTATTTAAAGATCTGTTCAGTTAGTTTTACACCCTGAAACAGTTTCAGGGAAGTACTGGAAACTATTTTGAAGAATATTATATGCTTGCAGAAGCAAACACTTGGCAAGTTTTAATGCTCTTGCTGAAATCACCTAACAATTCAAAAATTACCTGATTTGTCATATATTCGGCATCTTACATTTTTAATGGACAAACTGGAAAACCTGCGTCAAATGTTGCTATTTCATTTATTTCGCCAGGGGCAGAAGTATTTGGGTACTTGATGCATGATTATCAGACCTTGAGCCTGCAGGTGTTTCAGAGTATTTTATTTCAGTGTAACCTAACTGCAGAAATACCTTTCAACACCTAGTGATAAACCATCTGTTTTCCTCTTACATATTTTATACTGCCATATGAAAGCACTTCAGTTCTATACATCTAACCACCTCTGCGCCCAGAGGCATAATAGCCTTTCTTTTTTTTTTCTTTTTATTCTGTATTAGTTAAGCAAGTTAATTGCATATTTATTACTCTTTTGCCTCACGGCAAAAAAAAAGTTCTTTACCTTTGCTTGTTTTTAGTGAAATTAATAAGCTAATTTCATCAGGGTATGAATCAGCTCAAGTCCATAGAATTAAGAGATGCACCATTTAGGCTGCAGAAGCAAATATTTTTAGTCATTTGGACCTCTCTTTCTTCTCTAAATTGTGATCTGTAGTGAAGAGGAATGCCTGAGACCGTGTTACAGTTCTCTGTAACTGACATTGAAGATCTCAGAAATCTGCATTGACAGTTCCCCAGCTTCACCATTAGTTGCCATATAATTGTGCTTGAAATTTGTTGCATATAGATCAAGAGCGTAGACCTTAGATACAGGTAGCTATATGTAGGTAAAAGGCAGGTAGAGGGAGGAAATTGAAAATACATAACAAACCTTGTTAAAAAACAAAAAAGTTACGAAAGTTAAAAGCTGTGTCAGCCAATCTGTCAGCCAAACATGCATCAGATAGATGCTTTCCAATAAGCCAGGTGTATGAACAAAGTATATAGTTCTTTTTAATTCAAAATTCTTTACAGAATCTAATTGACAAGCTAACTTTTCAAGAGTCTGATAATGAAGTGTAGTGATAACTTTCATAGACTGAGTGAATGATCCTCTTCCTTATAGCCAGTAATGCAGAATTTAAAAAGAACTCTGTACAAAGCGGAATGATTTAATGCCTTTCTACCAGTTGTTTCTTGGACTTCTTCCACTGCAATCACTCAGAACTAGATTTATTCATTTAGTTCATCGTTTCCATCCATTCTCCTTGGGTGATTTGAAGGTGGAGAGTGATTCTCTTTGGATCTGTCTCATAATTTATGAAAATACTTCATAAGGATAAAAACAACACCAAAAAAAGTAAAGTTGTTTGCTTACACCTTAGTGTATAGCACATTATGAAATACAGATTAGAATATAGCAATGTAATTCATGTCATAAAGAAGGTATCACAAATTATAGGAAAGCGTAGGCTTGATGTTTCTTATCCTAATGCATTGTGTTTCCCAGAAGACGTAAAGACAGACACGAAGCCAGCGGGTTTTCAAGAAGACCAGATCCGGATTCTGACGAAGATGAAGATTATGAAAGGGAGAGAAGAAAACGAAGTAAGGAAGCTGTTTAGTCTTTTGGTGCGGCAGAGGGGGAAGGGAGGAAAAGAAAGAAAAAAAAAAAATCAACAATCCTGTTCTTGTTTTTGTGGACGCTGTAATCCTGTTTTCTTGGTTGATATGTATCATGTTATTTCTGAGCCTCCGGAATAAAGCAAGTATTTTACTTTGACGTACCTATTGAAGAACAGAAAATTGTTGGGTTGTTTTTTTTTGCTTTTTTTTTCCATGGAAGAAGAAGGCAGATTATTTAAAGTCCTTTTTACATTAGCTAGTAGATATTTCTTATAAGTTTCTGCTTAGTATAGGTTCTGGGACAGGTGGGAACATGAGATAAAAATCAGCTTATGAGAATTGATAGAGAATTTTCTCTATTACTTACCAAATATCTGTGCATTCAGATGTTTCTTAGTATAAGCAACTTTATTGTTTCAGTAGCAAAATCACAATAGCTAATTCAGAAATGGATGAGACACTTAACTTGTATTTGCTGTGCCTTGGGAGTCTGGGACAACCTTGGAATGTTATTCATTAGAATGGAGCTTGTGTTGTACCTTTATGAAAGTGTGGGTGCTATCATAGGACGTGATTATAAGAATGTTTTGTCTTTTGTCCCCTAGGTATGGGAGGAGCTGCTATTGCACCACCTACATCTCTCGTTGAGAAGGACAAAGAACGTAAGTACACCAAAACCGTCCCCTAAAGTCTAAAAATGTTTTTCAGTTTTCACCCAGCCCTCTATTTAGTTAAGATGTCCTGCTGGTTGTCCTAAATAGTTCCTTGTGGCAGAAGGGCCTGTACCACTTCTCTGTTGAACCTTCTGGTACAGGTTATGAGGAACCTATGATATTACTGTGATTCACATTTCTATACTAAATAAGCATCTTCTGTATTGCTAAAGATGTGGGTTAGTAGTCCGATCTGTGATAACTCTGGTTACTCATGATATGAAAGAAGAAATATTCCTTTTTTTTTGATGTAGGCTGGCGACTTATCTCCACAGCATATATAGAGATTTTTTTTCTTCACTACCTTTTTCCATTAGGAAGTTCTTCTGAATGCCTTTTTCTGGCAGCCTTATGCATTAAAGACAGGATTTTGTAATTTTTTGAGGGATAAGGTATAAGCTAAAAGGTGCTCGCAAGAGAGGATTTTCTTTCCTCTTCCAAGGAGAATATTTTGAGGAAAAGGTTGCAGTTTGTCCACTAGATGGCATAATCTTGCTGCAGGAACAAAAGTGTTCAGGTTTGCATGTCTGATTGCTAATTATTTCAATTGAAAAATTAAGACAGTGTATTGTATGTGTCATTATAAATAAAAGAATTTGAATATTATGCACATAAATTTTCCTTTGGAAGTCCTGATTTAATTTAAGAGTAGATTCAAATGAAAATGTAGTTTGGTGGAGTAAACGAATGACATAATAATGAAGGTATTTGAAGTGTATAAACACTAAAAACAGAAAGGAAATATTTTGTGTAAATAATTAAGAGCAATTGAGCAGTGTCAAAGAAAAGTAAATAAAGCCTGGAAATGGTAGAAGTATCCTGAGGGGAAAAGCTTCTAAAATGTGAGATGATCTCACAAGGGAATCTTTGTATGACTTGTTACTTGATGCTCAAAGCTAGACTGGGCAAACCTCAGAAAATACTACAGCAAAGTTCCATAATCCAGTCCATGCACTGCCTAAATAAGATTATTTTTTCTCATACTGTTTCCCCAGCCTTCATGTCTGCCACTTCGGTAAGATACTAGTGCTAGTTAACATGAGAAAATACTCTAAATTCCATCTAAAGGCATTTAAATACACAAAAGAGGTTGTTCTTTATTTCCTCATAGAATTTCTCTAGTGTATTTGGTTGCTTTTCAAATAAATTTTGCACTTGTACCTGTCAGTAGAAGTGGCATAATTATCTAATCAGTGTGATATACATTTCTCTCGGGAAGGAGCTTAGTTTAGAAACAGTGAGCAATATATCTTCAAGTTGTATAAATGTTTTGCTTAGAGAAGTCTTTGCCAAAGACTGCTGTGGAGAAGAGGAAATCAGTGAAGCAGAAGGCAGTTTTAACTTGGCATTAATTTTCTTTTAAAGGAGAGTATTTTTTTATGTGTAAATGTACGGTGTACTCTATACCACTAGTTAGACAACAATGTGAATTCATTCATTATTATTATAATTCTGTTTCTGATGAACAGTGCTTTAAGTTTGCTTGCCATGTGCCTGGATGAACTGATTGTGGTGAAGTAGCCTCATAACGTTTCTTTTCTCCAGTTAATGAGTTTGAGATTAATAAATGTATTACAGACCTGCAGAAACTAAGGCAAGATATGTATCCTATGAGGAACACCCAGATCTCAAGTGTTGTCTTGTATATGAGAGAGTGGTGAAGGGATATTAAAAAAGCATGTGCAAGGGAAACAGTCTTTGATTTTGGATTTACATGAAAGACCTGTTTTTCTTAATGTGTGAATGTTGAAGGAGAAGGCACAGCCTGCTGAAGAAAATCTTTGTGTAAATGAATGAGATTGAAGTTGCAGTACTTTAGTGTCCATGACAAATAGGTAATTTATGCAAAGTATTTTAGTGAAAAAGTAAATGTCTCCATTCCCTTCCAGCTGTAGCATCATTTCCGTTTGAAGAAGAGTCAAGACCTCGCGCTCCTTCCTCTAAAGCAGCTATTCCTCCTCCAGTGTATGATGAGACAGAAAGACCTCGTTCACCAACAGGACCCAGTAACTCCTTCCTTGCTAACATGGGGTAAATATGTTTGACATACTTATAAAACTAAAAAATCTTAGTATTAGAAGATGATGGAAGCCAAAACTTAAAATATTTTGTCTGTAAGAAATAAGTAGATGTGGTCCTAACTGAGAGGATGACAGAACAGCAGTGGATTTCTTTGAATGAGAGAAAAGCAGCTTAGGTGGCTGCATTTAGGGCTGTGCCTCTAAGCAAGTTCTGAGGCCCCACTGAGGTAAAAAGTGTTTGTGGCTTGTGCAAGCCAAGCTAATGTAATCTACAGGAAAACACAGATGGCACGTTAGTGTCTCCAGATTGCCTTTCCAGCCTCACCCAAAATTTGCTGTGTTCCAGTGGGTAAATTGTTTCAGCTCTGGTTTTGTTTGTATCATCAAAAATGCACTGCATATTTGAAAGTGGCAGCAGCTGTGGCTGCAGATCTTTCCTTTTCCATTTCTGCCTTGGATTAGCGCTGTGAAAAAGCTTGCTAAACTACTGTGAGGGCAAAGTGAAGTTGGATGTGTAATTAGGAACAACTTGGAGACATCTCTGAAAGGTGCAGTGTTTATCTCTGACCATCTTACACTGTGCTTGATGTGACTGAAGTCTAGGTGCAACCTCCCTGTAATCAAAACTATATTCAGGAGGAACAGAGCCATAGAGGGATAGTTTAAAATTATTATTTCCATGCATTTTTCATTCTTGCTTTTATGCAAGTTTTTGATATAAACATTTTTCAACATTGTCCAAAAAAAGGAGAGCCAACATGAGAAGTGTTAAATGAGTTTGTGTTGTTACCACCTCAAGTTAACAATACCCTAACAATACCACTATTTCATTGAAAAAAAGGAGCTAAAACTACTGCCTACCTGCCTTATTTAAAGCATACAGTGGCAACCGTTTGTTGTGTGAGTTAGTGTCTTAACCTTTGAGCATGATGTAGCTGGAACATTTGGCCCTACCTAAGGTGCATTTATATGTTTTATATTGTGTACCTGGAAACATAGTCATGTAGTCACTGAACCAGTATTTTCTGTGTAATGCCTGTTAGTGAAACAGAGGTGACTGAGTAGAGAACATGGCTTGTGGTGTAAATTGCTGCTGTACCATAGTGCATTTTTGTGCCTTCACCCATCAAGACATGGTATCCAATGAAATGTCAGTCACGCATGTACATATGCTTTGATTCTAGCAATTCTTTCGGGGATATTTCAAAATCAGCTAGTAGGGCTCCTTTTGGCATTTGCTCTGTAAATAGGTAGCGATTTTTCTGCCTCAAAGTTCTTGAAAATTCAGAGATGAAACATTTAAATGGATGTTAAGAATATCCAAATTTGTTACAGGAAGAGGCAGCAAAGCCATGTATTCTGGAGCTTAAGCCAACGCTGAAATAGTAGATGGTGGAACGTATTCTAATAAGGGAAACAAAAATACGTCTACCTGTTTTGATATTCTAATATTTTTATCTCTGGCTTTTTGATATGAGCTACTGATAAAGATGAATTGGACTAGTTAAACCTTGGTCTAATCTATTCTGCAACTTTGTGCAGAATGTCTGATACTGACTTGCACTGTTAATGGGAGTCAGCTGGTATTTGGCAAGGTGTGAACAATTTTATTGCGTTAGTCAAATTTGCTGTCAAGTTTTCCATATGTAATTCAGGAATAATATTTTCCATCTTCTCAGGTTCTGTGAAATTGTTAGGCTATAAACTCATGTAGAAGTTCTTCTGTTTTCACTGTTTAATGAGATTTTAGGAGGTAGAATATGTGAGTATCTGATAAGTCAGGAAAATCAATGTTTTAACAATATTTTAATAATGTTTTGTGTGAGAATCCTTTACTAATTGATCCTTTTTCTCTTTGCAGAGGGACGGTAGCTCATAAAATCATGCAGAAGTATGGTTTCAGAGAGGGCCAAGGGCTGGGGAAGCATGAACAGGGGTTGAGCACAGCCCTGTCAGTAGAGAAAACAAGCAAGAGAGGTGGCAAGATCATTATTGGGGAGGTTACAGAAAAAGGTAATTGTGTCCTTCCCCAGGGAAAAGGGAAGCTTCTGTGGAAAATGATTGGGAGAAATGCATGTCAGTGGGAGCTCCTTGGCTTTGGGGCAGATAGGGGAGGCAACCTCTTTCCTTGCACAGAATGTTAGTAGTAGTTAGAAAAATGGCGGGTTCTCTTAGTTATTTTTGTTCATCCTCTTACCCTTTAGGTTGTCTTCCTTTAGTGTCCTCTCTGTACCTTCTCTTCAAGGTGTAATGGAAGGTGCACAGTTCCTGCTGGCTTTCTCCTTGGCATATGTATTAAATACTGATTGCCCAGGGGGTTGTCTAGCCTATAGACAACATCTAGGCTTACTAGAACTGCACCTCTGCCTGATCCACACGCGTTAGGAGTAAGAAGATCCAATTTTTGGTTTTGGTGGATCTAGTAACGTTTTAAAATTGATTTCCCTCAAAGAAATAGACTATGCTATCTATGTGTATCTTTCTATGCTTTGGCTTAATTTATGTGCCATAGCAGTGGGTTGTCTGGTTATTGTCATTCCAGGTAGCTAGAAGTTCTGAGAGACTATTCCTTTTCATTATGAAACTACAATTAGTGACTTTTATTTCATTGAGTGAAACTAATAAGATTCTCATAAAGGCTCCCACTGTAAACCTTAAGGAGCTTTGTTGTTAATTTTTTCCATAATCACTTGCCTATGTTTATAGCAGATGCAGCCAAGAAAACGGATTCTAACCCATTAACTGAGATACTGAAATGCCCTACTAAAGTGGTCCTTTTAAGGGTAAGTTGAAAGTAAAGGGATACATCTTGGTACTTTCAGCATGCATGTCTGTTTAAAATGCTTAAACCTAGGACAGTGGCTCTATGTGCAGAGTTCTGACCTAAACCTTGTATCATTTCTGTCTCTTTTTCAAAATGCCTGAAATGCTTCAATCCCGTTGATTGTTGGACACAAAAGTTAAAATATTCACAGTCACAAGTGCATACGTTCGTGATTTGTGTACATAACCATCTACTTGGGCCACATCCAGTGAGCTGGCTTTCTTCTCTTAACTTGCAGAATATGGTAGGTGCTGGGGAGGTAGATGAAGATCTAGAAGTTGAAACTAAGGAAGAATGCGAAAAATACGGCAAGGTTGGGAAATGTGTCATCTTTGAGGTAAGAAATAATCTGACCCTTGGTGACAGCTCTGAAAGAAAATTGGACATTTGTCTTTCAGGACTGACTTCTTACCCTTAAAGAAGGGATATAGATTAAGAAGCTTTTTCAGAGTCCCTTGCAGTCTTGTGGTTCTATATTTTCCATGTCTATAACAGTACAAACTCCTAAAGTCAGAAACTGGGCAAAATCTGTGGATATTGTACTTTTGGAGCCTTCTTCAGTTCCTCCTGCTTGAATTAGTCTTTACAGAGAATTGTTTGGGGATTTGGCCTGTAGAAGCTTCTCACTCTGACTTACTTGAAAGGTTTCCTTAGAGAAACACGACCCATTTTGGCAATTTTAAGTCTCCTTTTAGCAACTGGACAGCTATGCCTATGTTTTCTTTTGTGCTCACTGCTGTGAGGAACAACAGTTTAAAGCAGTATCTTGGTAATGCTCTAATCAGTTCTGGTTTTCTTCAGATTCCTGGTGCACCTGATGATGAAGCTGTAAGGATATTTTTAGAGTTTGAACGGGTTGAGTCTGCAATCAAAGGTAGGATGCTACATTGTTTAATGCTAATTTCTAAATAAACTTGTTCAGACATTTAACAGCCTTACTCTTTAGACTGTTAGCTAAAGAATTTTTTTATTTTACCGAATTGCTACTCGCTGATTCATTTTTTCACTTTAATTCTAGCTGTGGTGGATCTAAATGGAAGGTACTTTGGTGGCCGAGTGGTGAAGGCTTGTTTCTACAACCTGGACAAGTTCAGAGTACTGGATCTGGCAGAACAAGTTTGATTTTAAAAATCTAGCTCGAGGTGTCACTGTTCTGGCAATCGTGTTTTCAGCAGAAGGCTGGGAATGAAGAAGAGAAGCTTTCCTAGCAAACTGGAAACAAGCCTCATTGAATGGATTTTTCACATTCGTTGTGACTTACACTTTTTGTAATATAAAGCCCTTTGAAAGTAAAATTCACGTCTGTGTGGTTTTGAATTGCACAATTCTGCTTATTGCTCTGGGAATGTTTTTATGTTTTGAGCTTTCAAAGGACTTTTTGAACCCCACTGCTGAGGAGATGCTTTGTCTGTATTCCTGCTTTCCTTGTTCTGGTGCTTCCTCATGGAGTCCGCTGTGCTGCATCCACAGTAAGTGGGAAGCTTTGGAAAAGGACAGTGTGCTATCATGCTTCTCCTTCCTCGTGGTATCTCCCAGAATTCCAGCCTTGCTCCTAAGTCCTCAGTCTCAGAACTCCAGAGTGATTTGTGGTCATTGGATGATTGGCAGCTAATTGTTCTGTAGTTTGTCTCCAGGACAATACTTTCCATACCAGAACGGAGAGTAAAGTAACAAGGAATGAATTTGTATTTCTTCCCAAATCCAATGAAAATGCATAACTATACATAAGTTTAACCCAGGGAAACGAAAGGAGGAAGGATTTAAAATACCTAGCCACTTAAATCCAAGTGATGGGACTGTCAGTGGAAACTTTCTGCTAGAGTCCTTGCTAGAAATACTGAGGATTAACTGAACACAGGTCAGTATTGAAGTACTGTAGGAACTGATGGAAACTCATTCTTGTATCTGGCCAACCACACGATTCTCACTTTCTCCAACATCGCAGTTAAGTAACTAACTTTTAAAATGCATTGAGACCTGGCATGTGCTCTCTCTATTTCTCTGTTTGCAGTCAGATAACACTGAGGGACATATTTAAGAGGGCATGCTGGATGAAGTTTTCAAAAGAGGCAATGAAAGAAAATTCTCATGGAAAACTGAAGAGCTGGCAAACAAAATTGCTAAAAGCCACATTGCTTTTTCCTCTCCAATGTAAAATAAGAAATAGCAGTGTTCCTGGTTTTATGTTTGCTTTTTGTTCAAAACAGTATGTGACAAAGGGTTGGCAGGAGGTGTCAACGATGACACTCGTCTGTGCTCCATTATACCCGGAATTGCCACTGAAATTGTACAAATATTAAAAGGGAAGAGAGCTTTGAGGGCATTTTAGTAGGTTGGAAGTTGATGCTGGATGCCTTTTTCCTGTTGTACACAAGTATGGGGGGAGTAGGGGGTGTAGACCTGTAGTTGATCAATGCTGTGTCTCCAGTTATTGCCCTTTAAAAAAAAAAAAAAAAAAAAAAAAGCTTTGGCTGCAGATCTTTATGGCAAATTCTAGCTCTTGTTTTTTGTTTCTTTTGTCCACTTGTGTTCCAACAACCTCTGTACAAACATTTGCTTGTAAAACAGAAAACGATTTTTTAAAAAATTCCTATTTTACCTGTTGCTTGTCTGCTTCTTTACTGTCCTCTTCTGTTGTAGGAGACCTTCTCCAAGTCTTCTCTCCTGTGTGCTAATGAGGGCGGTGGTTGGAATCTGCCACCAGACCCAGCCTGACTGATAACAAAACCGCAAGGTTTGGGACAATAACCGAATCCAGAATATTGTTAGCTTTGTGTGACCTTGAGGAATACTTTAAGGCCTTTGATACAGCAAAACAAATCCACCTAATACAAATGAGCATGTGTTTGTAGAAGTGAAATAATTCGAGTGGTATGCTGTGGAAAAGCACTGGGAACTGGTTTAGTGTGATGTGAATTTAGTGTGAAAATGTGATGTGGCTTTAGGCAAGATGATTTATTTATGACTTTTGTTTCAACAAATACTACTGTTGTGCATTATTAGCTGTTAGCAGCTGTAAGCTTTTGCTGAGGGATGCAGACTGTTTTTTTTGTATCTTGTAACTATCTGTTCTGCCTTCTCTCCCTGTAATGGCAGCGTTGAGCTTCCAATTTGATGAATCAGAGACTTGAGTTTGTCATTTATTCAGTGCAGGAATTGGGTCAGCTTAGGCCTGTGTATTTACAAGCAAAACGCTTACTTTGTCCTGCTCACGCAGGAACAACCTGCTCTGTTCCGTTTTCTTGTATGCTGTTGCCTTTCTGCTCTCTTTAGCCTTTTGCCTATGTTCATTCCATTTAAATTTCTCTTAATATATCACTTCATCCAAAGGGCTTCCACTTGCTGAGAACTTTTATTGGCAACTTTTTCCCATTTGGTTCTGAAAATCCTCATTATGGTTGATTATTTGCGGGCAACGTTTGCCCTGGAAATGTCAAGGAGACAACGTGTTGATGTAGTATTTTGTGCAGAAGGACTGATTCTCTAACCAAAACGTTTGTTTCTGTACCGTGCAGTCACTAAAATGCTTTACCTCCTTCCAAAGTCTTAGCAGGCAAAAACTGCTTTAGCTTCCTCTCCTAGAAGCTGTTTTTGATGATGGTTTTGGTGTTCGCTGTGCCAGCCCACTGTGTTGGAGCCTGACTTATAAGTAGTTGTCCTCTAGGTGCTGCCACAGTCAGCATTATACAGGTGAAGAAAGCTGAAGAAGGATCAGATAGTGGAATAAGATCTTTAGCTAGGGTTTATCTTTAACAAATACGTAGATTATATCAAGCATGGTTTTTTTTTTTTTTTTTTTTTGGTTGGTTGATTATTTTTGCAAATGTTCATTCTTCCATTCACCTGGGTTGATCTGTTGGCAGGGGCTTTCTCAGGTAAGGCTGTATCTTGTATATGTGTCAATTTTTTTAAAAAAATGACTCCAAATACACTACTATATTTCCTACTTTCACTGGAAACTTATTACAGACCTCTTATTCCTTTTTCGTGTAACTTAGCACCTCCAGCCCTTACATTTAAAACGTGCTTTATTTCCTTCCCTGCTTCATCAGCAGCCTCTCGGAGGGCTCAGACACACTTATTTATAGCTACTGAGTCTACTTACGCTTCTCTTTTTGCACAGCTGAAGTTGCACGCAGTTCTTCATAAGCTATGTTGTAAACAGACAACTCCAAAACAGTGGTCTGAGGCAATATTTTATTTTTCTCCTTTGTAATGTTGCCTAAAAAGCCCATGATTACAGAAAATGAAGGGGATGGTAGCCTGTTAAAGTGGATGTTTGCTTTACACATCTTCAGTGTATAGGTTATACCACTTCAGATGAAGCATTCTGTATTTCTCAGGCTTGACTTTCTAATGCTAAACTTTAATTCCATGTTTTTAAATACCCTTGTAAATATGCTGATGCTCTGACATGCTGAATAGGTGACTCCCCTCTTAGGCTAAATATGAGCTGTTTATTATTGCCAGGAATCTAGATTAGACGTCTGCTTAAGGGAGGTTTGGCGGTGCCCTGAAGCGAACAGTGAGCCAAGAGAGACGTGTAGGACATGTCAGCTGGAGCTGGAAGAGGTGTCCTCAGTGCATTATCAACCCTCAAGTTTGTAAGAGCATGGATCTGTCCTTTTCCTTCTTGATAACATCTGGTTGTTTTCAAGAAGGGAAGCACTGACTTGACATTTTCGTGGCTCTTATAACCCCAAAGTCTCATTCCTGAATGGGCGCAGCTATTTCAGAACTTTATGTACACAGGTTGTGGTATCTTTATTTTCCCTTTCATGTACTGTTTTGTACTTCCCTATATTGAATTTCAGCAGCTACTTTTATTGCTTGCCCACTTGCTACCAGACTCAAGAAATCTGATGAGCCAGAGTTCACGGGAAACACGGGGTATTTTTAGCATTATTATTGTCAAAATCTAAGCTTGCTGTGCTAATGTATGAAAGATGAGACTTGTTGCCTCAAAAGCCTTGCTGTCTAAAAAGGGAGATGGGTACAAGAAGTGACTTGCCCAATCTCAAACAGAAAATTGGTAGCAAGTTTGGGGTTATGCCCTATTGTCCCTTGCTTGCAACTACGCAACAAAACCCTAAATTCCTTCTGGAGGAGTTGTTTTTTACTGTAATGACAAGTGATGAGCGCTCTCAGGCCTGAGCTTTAAGCTGAATTCAGCCAAGAAAGAGGAGACGTCATTCGCGTGCTGCAATCCCTGCAAGTGTTTACATCTGGAGTTGTGTATCTGAAATTCAAGCTGCTCGTAGGTCTGCCCAAGTGTCTCTGTGTTATGTTACCCTTTTTTGTAGAAGGAAATACACCATGTAAGCAAATAAAATTTCCATGAAGATAGTATGAGAGACTTCAACAACATGCATAAAGGTGCTTTTTTTTTCTCTCCAAGAAGGAGTTTAATGAAAGAGAATTTTCAGTTCTTGCAGCAGTTAGTGGAATAATAGTCCCCTAACAAGACTTAACATTCATCCCATTTTAAACAAGGACACTAAATCATTTCCAAAGCCCAGTAAAACCAAGTTGGACTTTCCAATGAGCTATTTCCTTAATTAAACAGAGTTCTTCAAAATAGCACGGTTTGTACTTCTGAAGCAGGTTTCCCCTGAGACAGAGCCATGATATGTAAATAGTTGTTGATTTTTTTACAGAGAAGGAAACTGAGATAAGCCGTGCACCAGCTGAGCCATGGCAGCTGCCACAGGAATGCAGACCGCAGGAGCAGGAGGCAGGAATCCCGGATTCTGGTTCTTCAGCTTCATCCTGCAAGCGGTTTTGCCTGTAGGTAATGCCAATCTGTGTGAACGGTGAGTTGCAGCTTTCCAATCAAATTGGAAATTATTAATGATTTTTCTTTTTTAAAGCAGATGGAAAAAAAAAAAAATACCGGTTGGAAAAAAAAAAAAAAATACCGGTTTTGCTGCCTCTCTTTCTGCCAGATGCAGTAATAAGATGCTGACTTTTTATGAGTATCACGCTTAAAATAGTCCCCTGTATTTTTCCACTGCTGAAAGTACCAACAGAGGCCCAGGCAGCCTGAGCTCACCGTGAAGAGCGATGTACCATCTGTATCCGAGAAGTTTATACTTTCCTTTTGGATATGGAAAATCATAGTCTTAATATTACTGGTCTGCCATGCCAGGCTTTTTATTACTTTTAATGTCCAGAAGCTCAGAAATAAATGAAAGCCCTCATAAAATTGGAAGAGAGCAAGAACATGTGTAAATTTGAGGGCTACTTAGAGATGTATGTAACATTAATAATATATTAATGGAAAAAGCTTCCCCTGAGGACCCTTTCCAGGCTGCATCTCCCCTATTTCCCTTATAGACCCCAGAACTGTTCGCAGTTGCCCTGGGCTGTTTCTTGCAGGCACCTACTGTACTAATAACTGCAGGACACTGTGTTAATGGATTGGCCTCTTGGAGCTTATGCCTTCAGGTGATAAGACACTTGCCCTTAAGAGAGGAATGGAGATTGATAGCATCAGCTATTAATTTGGCATTCTCCGAATTTGGCATTCGTTAAGCAATGAGAACATACAGCCTAAAAGATTTATGGCTTTCTTTGAGAACTCCTGTGTGTTTTTGGTTTCTGGGGTGCTGTTTGTTTCTAAACCTTATTTTTGCATTTCCACATGCGAGGGAACCTCTTTTGGGGAGAAACAGGCGTCACAACAGTTTCACCATCACTTCTAGATTCACCCGCTGGGCAAAATCCATCTGCTGCTAGGTAGCTGTTAGCACCTGAATTTGGGTTTCTGCACTGTCTTAGAGAAAAGAAGGTAGCTTCTGTTATGCCCCACGGCTGGCAACCAGGTGATTTGGCTTCCTCCTCTGCTAGGCTGTGGAACAAGTAGCTCTTTCACAGATAGGTTTGGCTTTTGTTTTTTTATTATTTGTTTTGGGATGGTTTTGGGTGTGTCCTATGGGCAACACTTCTCATAAATGAGTTCTTCCCCCGTTTTCTGTCACTCTGAAGATTCTATTCTGATTATACAGCAGTTGAGGTGCCACTGCAGGGCCTTTATCATCTCATCAGTTTGGTTTATGTGAAATGTTTCTCACTTTCTCAGGGCCTGCCCTCTGTGACTCATAGGCTGCCATCTCCTTTTAAAGGTTGTTTGGACTTCCAGAAACACCGGAGGCTTTGAGGTTAGTGCCAGGCTAAAACCATCAACAGTGAGACACAGAGGATGGGCAGCAGGTACTGGCTGCTCGACCTCACAAAACAACAGGTCTTACAGCTCCCAGGCATATTTCACCTGTTTTATCCTGTTGGAAACTCCCCATCTGTGGTATTCTGGTCTCTCCTGTAACTTACTTGTGTCGCTCACACAAATACTTTGTTAGAAACTGAAATGATGGTTCCAACCCAACATACAAGGCTCATAGAGAACTCATTAAAGAGAAGCAACATGA